ATTTTTATTCATAATAATACCTTTTATTTATTTAGCTTTTCGGCTCCAAGATATTTTACATTTATTTACTAATTTATTTAATAGAAGTACTGACCGTATTATGTTTTATTTTTCCCTAAACCTGTTATTGTTTTTCAGACGAAGAACGTGAAGACTTGGATGATGTAGAACGCTGGTCAAACACTCAAGTACGTGAGTGGGACGGAGTGACATTTAGCAGTGAGCGAGACAATGAGAGCGAGACGGTAAGGAGTCAGACACCGTATGCTTGGGGGGAAGAAGAAGAAGAAGCAGCGTCGATCGTGGATGCGGATGCAGAAACGGTTGGTGACGAACTCAGGTCGGCGAGCCTAAGGCACGAGGTACTCCTTCATGAAATAATTAATAAATTGGATGATATCGACCTAGCTACGAATGCGAATCAAATTGACGACGTGACGAACGGGTTACGTCAATTGAGAACAACGGTTCACGAAAACTTTGCGACAGTTCACGACATGCTTCGCAAGCTGTTGCGCGAGAGGAGACTTTTGGTGGATCTTGTCGCCAATCTAAATCACTTTATAATGAGGAGATAACTGCTCTATAACGTTTTTATTGTTGCTGATTTTAATGATGTAAACACCAGCAATTTTTAATGTTGCCGATTTGTTATTATCAGTATTAGACTATAATTTAGACGATATCTGCACAGTGCTATTTCATGTTAATCTCGTAGTCAATTCCATTATTAAGGCTGTATGGTTTTATATTTTCTTTTTATTTGTTGTCTTTAATCAGTTTGATGTTATCAGTGTATGGTTTAAACTCTGTTGCCTTTATAAAGAAGTAGTTATATTTTTGCCTGTAATAATTAAAAAAATGAATGCCTGAGATGTACAAGGAGACAAAGCTCTTTCTGACACGCTACAGAGTATAATTGATTTGCAAATTCAAAATGCTCCTGATAATATGACTCTAGGCGATAGATTACAACAAATGATAAGCTCGCACCCAGATGTGATAGGACCATTTCCTGATTACACTATGTTAAATGCTTGTGATTTGCAACAAATAGAAATGGACCAGACCCTAAATTTGAATTTGTGCGATATGTTACAGATCATACTAGAAGAGCACAACCAGCTGTTACAACAAAACAATGTCCAAAACGGTGGTGCATTAACAGATTCCGACTCTACACCTGCCGGTGCTATGCATTCATCACCTACCACTTCTGCTACCGAACGTTCATCGTCTAGAAGAACCGTGCCCCCTGCAGGTAATAACGATTCCGAGCGACCCTCAACTAGCAGAACAGCAGACCCTGCCGGTACAACTCGGGCGATCATCGATGCAGCGATACGTAATGGCGGTACCGTAAACGGCTTTTGTGTTTTACCGCGACCGCGTTTTAACAGCGTGGATTTACGTAGGACTATGAATATGAGGGAGATCATGTCTACAGATTTAGCATCGTATCACGTCTCCTTGCACAACGCCATGGATGAAATAGTGTCATTTGCCCAACAGATCGGAGGTGATGCTAGCGTAATCAACTTGGTTATGACGGCCCCTAGCCTGAATTCGTCCGTTAACGCCGTTTTAACCCCTGGAAATAATTATGACGTTAATCTATTTACAGAACAAATCGAAAAAATTTTACAAAGCAACGAAAGGCTGATGGTTGATGATGCGGTTGAAATTGAAGCCAACGTAGCCATGAACAGACAAGGAGGTGGACGGCGTAAACTCACAGAACTGGCTTTGGACCAGGTTATCAAAAGAAAAAAGATGAGTCTATTCAATCCTGTAAATACCGGTAATAAAATATGTTTGGCTATCTGCCTGGCACATTTTCTCGATCCCCAATTACCTGAGAGCGAATTGGAAAATCGTGCGGCCGTTATCCAAAAGAACGCCGGGTTCACTAGTCAAGACCCGATAGGTCTTCATGACATA